TTATAGCCATTGGTTAAATCTCTAAATAGAATTTGTTTCAGGATCTATTATATATAAATAGGTGTAAAATTTTCTTGTCCCGGTCAAACTGCAGAATGAGACTTTATAGAAATCTTGAAATGTTATTAATTACATTTTGATTTTTGCAATGGCTGAAGTTTGATTCTAAACTGCAAGCTCCTTGGTATTAAACATTGTTTCTGAGTTAGGTTGTCTGTTTACAACTTCAGCTTTTGATGCATGCATATGCATTTAATCTGATGTAGCTTTAGAACATTTTATTTGAACAAAGAAAGGGAGCTTGTATTTTTCAAAATTGATTAGCTTGACAGGGTTAGTGCATACTCACACCATAAGGTGCAGTTAAGCAAGTCCAATTTGTGAAAAAGGTTGAATATGTTAGGCAAGTTGATTCAAATAGCATTGCATACTTCTGAAAACATGATGCACAATGCATACATGAAATTATTGCTTATCTGAGTTCTGCCAGGTACTCTATGATACAAATGGCTTTTTGGAAAAGAACCGAGACCCACTGAACTCTGAGTTAGTCCAACTTCTATCATCATGTAATGGCCAATTGCCACAATCATTTGCCTCTAAAATGCTTAATCAATCTCTGAAACCAGCAACATCATTTGATGCTCCAAAGCAAAGTGTCGGTACAAAGTTCAAGGTAAATTTGATTACTTAATAATTGTGATCCAAATTTATCAGTGGTTGCAATGTAAAATAAGAATACAAAGCTTTTTGCAGTGTCCATTCTTTATTTGAGAAGCTTTATGACACTGAGTTGTTTTTGAAACTTCGGTATAAGGAAGACAAAGATTTGCCAGCCCTATGAATGAAGTTATATTGATTTAATTAGTTCTTTGGTTCTTGGATGGGTCATTGGGTAATTGATATGTACATTTGCCTTTTGATTGAAAAATACTTTATGTTCCTTTGGCAATGGGGTATCTAATACAGTACTAATATTATTGATCTTTGCTGCACACTGAGATGCGCCTATCACTAAAGCATGTTTTGTCAATGTTGTTTTTCTTCCATCCTTGTAGGGTCAACTCTTCAAACTAATGAACCAGTTGGAGAACACAACACCTCACTTTATCCGCTGCATAAAACCAAATTGCAAGAAGCTCCCTGGCTTGTATGAAGAGGATCTTGTCTTGCAGCAGCTTAGATGGTGTGGAGTTTTAGAGATTGTTAGAATCTCAAGATCTGGATACCCTACTCGTATGACACATCAGAATTTTGCAGAAAGGTAGCGGCAAAATCCTCCTCATCTTAAGGCTTGTTTAATTTTTTCTTATTCTGTCTTAACTAGTTCACCCATTAATTCTTCTCATATATTTTTAGGTATGGGTTCCTACTGTCAGAGACCAATGTATCTCAGGATCCTTTAAGTATTTCAGTTGCTGTTCTACAACAATTTAATGTCCTCCCTGAAATGTATCAAATTGGCTATACCAAACTGTATCTTCGAACTGGGCAGGTAAGTTTCTTTATTCTTTTAACGTTGTTTAACGTTTCTGTCCATTTTTATGCTGTAATTTTTCAACTTTGGTGTACTTTGAAACACTTACTGGAAATATATGACTTTATAGATAATTGCAAGAGCCAACCAACCTTAACCCTTGGTCTATGCATATCAAGAGTTTGTACTAAGACTTCATATAAGCCCACCACTCTGTGCTAGTATAACTTACTACCTTTTCCGCTGCACCTGAACTAGGAGATCTAGGAGATATAACTTTCTCTTACTTAATGGCAGGAAATCATGTTAGGCAAATTTCTTGCAAGTAGTTTGTAGAAAACACTCAGAATTTTTTCAAGTGGAGCCCAAGTAACCAGGTTGATATGTAAATGTAGATGAATCTCTGTGTTGCAAATAAAAGAGTGGACTATCTATTGGTGAAGTTCTGCTAATCAGTTCCTTCGTTTCAAAATATTTGGATTGCACCAAAAAAACATGACGGTCTCTAGTAATCTGGTGATTAGTGCAGACACCATTCACAGCAAGTTTATACTAGTTTATTCTACTTGCTTTTCCACTGAATGTTTTTTGTAGGGTCTGTACAAGTTATTAAAGCAATGTGTATCATGTTTCTGGTCTTGACTGGTTGTTGCTCCAATATTAGTAGTTGTTTTTATGCAAGTGAGTTTGAACAGGTTTAGGAAAGATTTTAGTTAGAGCAAGAGCATGGGTTGCTATATATCTCATACCATGCAAGTGAGTTTAGTTAATATGATATTGTTCCTCAAAAATGTCCTCAAGTATAGGTTCTCATTCCATTTAACATATTATAACAATTAAATATTACCAGCTCAGGGATATTGCCTCCCATGTAAATTGAGTTGTTCCAATTTCTTTTGGACTTAAATGGTATTTCATTAATTGAACTGAAACTTGATACTCAGAGTCAGACCTTAAAGTTAACATGCTGAGATTTGGAAAATGGAGTTTCATTCTGTTTATGATTATCTTTGGAATAGTTTTTCTGATGCTGTTATGTCTGACTGGTTTGCAGATTGGTGCATTGGAGAATAGGAGAAAACAAGTGTTGCAAGGAGTAATTGAGGTTCAGAAATACTTCCGGGGTCACCGGGCTCGTCGCCTTTTCCATGAGCTCAACAAAGAAGGAAAACATATACAATCATGTAATGAACTTCTTCAAGACAACACTCACTCTCAATCAAACATAATCTTGTTTTTCCACTTCTGACAGATTCTTTGCTTGTTTTATAATTTTTGTTGTCATATCTGGTCAGAAGTTCACATTGTTTCATACATTTAGGCTATCTTTCTGCAGGACATTTTAGACTTTGGTTTTTAAACATCAGTATCTCCAATGCACCTTTTCACGCTTTAATGGCTTGAAATGCAGATTTGTTTGTCTTTGTTACCATAAGTTGATTCCTTTTGTAGATCATGAGAACCTATCTTTGGCAATTTAAATTGTTGGATTACTCTTTAAGTGTTTGACGTTTCCTTAACGATGCAGTCGTCCGCAGTGAAAACATCCGAAGGAAGCATGCTGTTGAGGGAAATATGTGCTCAGCATTTGCTTCCCAAGTACTTGATGAGCAGTTGATGGCAGTCATATATTTACAATCTGGTAAAATTCTGTCTACTAGCAAAATCCGTGGGTGGCTTTCTCATTGTCTACATTTTTCTTACTTATTTTTCTCCAATGCAGTAATCCGTGGGTGGCTGGCCCGGAGACATTTCAATAACATGCATAATTTGAAACATTTAAACCGTGAAAGTGTAAAATCTAGACGAAAGATGGGTAGGAGGATTTCTGAAGCAAAGGTATTCTCTACTCTCAATATTGTAACATGCTAAGAGTGTTTTTTAAAGATATTTTCTTACCCACCATGTTTATTTTCTCGTAGATGCATGCCTTAAAGCATGCTTTACTTTCTAAGTTGTCTGTAATTGATTGAGCAACTTTGAAGGACTTAAATGGTGACCCTTTTTGGCTGACCAGGACAAACCACATGAGCAACAGATTCCAGTTCTGCCTTCTGTAATGGCAGAGCTTCAGAAAAGGGTTCTTAAGGCAGAAGCGACCTTGGGGCAAAAAGAACAGGAAAATACCACATTACGGGAGCAATTACAACAGTATGAAGCAAGGTGGTTGGAGTATGAGTCAAAAATGAAATCAATGGAGGAGATGTGGCAAAAGCAAATGGCATCACTCCAAGTGAGTTTGTGTATATATACATAAATGTTAATAACATGTTTGCATTTTGGTGACTGTCGATGACCAACACAAAAGGTCTTGACAATAGTCAAATTAATTGCAAAAATAATGCAATCCTGATGATCACAGCTAATCATATCAAACTGACTCAATGACTTTAAAGTACTGGCGGGATTGTAAATTTTATATGGAGCTGATAGTACAGGCTTTGTTCTGGATCATTGACTGCTGGCAAAGATTCCTTGTTATGATATGTCTCTGTCGTGGCTTTAATGACATGTAAAGTCCATATATATATATATATATATATTTCTGTTTTTGTCCTAGTTATATATACACTGTTGTGAGACTTGCATGCTTAATGATTTTTTTTTATGAAAATTACATGTAATAATAGCAATTATAATCACAAGAAGTAACTTTTAACATATATCCTGTTGAAGAGACCTATAAATGCATGTTTAATAATTTAATAACTTAGTTCAATTGCATTTATTGCAGTCAAGTCTTGCTGCTGCCAGAAAGAGTCTTGCTGCTGACAGTACTACTGGTCAGCTTGGAAGAGTCGATGTTGCATCACCTCGTTGTTATGATTCTGAAGATATGTCTATGGGATCTCGAACTCCTGGTGGGAACACACCTGTCTTATATTCTGGTGCAATTCCTGATTTTGTTGGTGGAAGGGAGAATGGTTCTTTGAATGCAGTGAGCAATCTGGCAAAGGAATTGGAGCAGCGGAAACAAACATTTGATGATGATGCAAAATCTTTGATTGAGGTCAGAACGGCCCACCCTGGTTCTATTACGAATCCTGATGATGAACTCCGGAGATTAAAACTCAGATTTGAGACATGGAAGAAAGATTACAAAACAAGATTAAGGGAAACCAAGGCAAGACTGCATAAACGTGGGCATCCAGAATCAGACAAAGCTCGAAGAAAATGGTGGGGGAAGTTAAGTTCAAGAGTATAGAATTGCAGTTTGAAATGATCATCAATCTCAGTTTGGTCCAAGCAATATCCAAGAGTTGTTGCCCAAATTGCCACCTGCTTCCGTTCTCAGGTACAGTTATTTTCGTTTATGGTGACAATCATAAACGTTCCGCGGACAGTGAAGGGAGACATTGTATATCTACCGATTTTTGTTACTTGGTGGGCGGAATTATCATGTGAATAGACAAATAGCAATTTCTTGAGACTGCCTTCTTCTTCGAATAGTTCGGTTTAGTTTGTGTATATTCTGTTCCCAGTGACGTAAGGTCCAAACTTTGTAGTTCCTTGAATACAGATGAAATGAGAAATGTTCATATGCCTTTTCCCTAAATTACATTGAATCTCAGTGATACAGAGGTTTCACATTGTCAAACAATAGATACATCTCCCTTCTAATCCACACAAGCAAACATAGAACAAGTTTGATCTGGGTATTATTGATTTACGATCCAGGCACAAACTTGGTAGCATAGACCCAAGCATTGTTGGCAACAGGGTTGTCAAGGTGGTCCAACAGGTTCTCCAGGGGACCTTTTCCGGTAACAATGGCTTGGACGAAGAAGCCGAACATGGAGAACATGGCTAGCCTGCCGTTCTTGATTTCTTTCACCTTAAGTTCAGCAAATGTGACAGGGTCATCAGCAAGGCCAAGAGGGTCGAAGAATCGGCCGCCAGGGTAAAGGTCATTGCCTTCTCCAACACCAGGGAGACCGTTGATGCGGAATCCTTCAACGAGACCCATGAGGACGACTTGGAAGCCGAGGACGGCGAGGATGCTTTGAGCATGAACCAGGTTGGGGTTGCCTAGGTAGTCCAAGCCACCTTCTGAGAAAATCTGAGCCCCAGCTTTGAACCATACTGGTTCCTTGAAGTTCACTCGAACCCATTTCTGAAGGACTTCTGGGGTGATGCAGCCTAGTGCTCCCAACATTGCCCATCTTCCATGAATCACCTAAACATTGTTTGATTAACAAAGAACTGTTAACAGATTATAAAACCATGGCATTGGATTTAGCTTGGAAGGAAACAAAGAGTTTCAATTGCTAATTTTGAGAGAGAGAGAGAGAGAGGGGTTACCTCAAGAGCCCTGTTCCTGGCAAAGGCCTCAGGGTCAGCTGATAAACCAGCTGTGTCCCATCCATAGTCACCAGGGAACTCTCCAGTCAAGTATGATGGAGTCTGAGCTGAAAAGGGTCCCAAGTACTTCACTCTGTCAGGTCCATACCACAGATCATTTCCCTACACAATAGACCCCAAAAGCAAAAACCAAACAAATCAAAACTCACCTCTGAAGGAAATCCTATAGAAACAAAAAAAAAAAAAGGAAAAAAACCCAAAAACTTACCATTGTGTATTTACCAGTGCCTGTAGAGACAACATCCCTGAGAGGGTTAGCATTAGAGGTTCTGTTTTGGCCAAGAAATGGGGTTGGCCTAAGGACAGTTCCAGAGCTAAGCATGGAAGCCATTGTGTCTCAGAGTCAAGAGGGGCAGTTTAATCAGTTAAAATCAGCTGGGAAATGCATGTATGGAAAGGGAAGTGAAAGCTATATATGTGGAGAACAGAAGAAAAAGAAATGGAAGAATCAAAAGATGGGTGGTTAAGACAGGAAGAGGCAAGAAATTGTGGTGGGGATTTGCAGGCTCAAAAATAAGCCAATCAAAGGGCTGCAAAGGATTTGAAGTATCTCCAACTCATATCCTTCTATCCACATTTATTATCTCAAGGGAGAGATGGTCTGGACACGTGGCTTACAAAATAAATGAGTTGCAAAAAACCATCGGTAAAATATTGGTAAAAAAATGTTTTGCTAAAATAGTGGTAAAAATATTTTTTTTAAATCAATTCAATTGCGGTGAGCGTGGATCGAACACGCGACCTTCAGATCTTCAGTCTGACGCTCTCCCAACTGAGCTATCCCCGCATGCCATGGGGAAGGTAATTTTAAAGAAAGTGCTATTCTATTTCGTTTCGGATATATTATTTATATTAAGAGTTTAAACCAATCACTGTTAATAATTAGAGTTTAAATTTTTCTATAAATATATGATTTAAATTTAAAAAGCTACTAAATCAATATTATTTTAAATTAAAATCTTTACAATGGGTATCAAAAGATTTGGACATCACATAATTTGATTAGACTTGAAAATTATTGAACCAATAACGCTCGGATTTGCGTCTGGGTCGTTGTGGTGACTATGACGTGTAGGATATGTCCTTCATGCGAAAGGAGTGACCAACAAGTGACAATAGCCGACTGCAGTCTGACATTTTTGAAACCTCGCAACGGTCGAATGATCAGACAGGGCAGCCGCGCTGTCCCATTACCAAAATAACAACATTAAAACTAAAACCTTAATTTCTCACAACAAAATCCCGACCGTTCAACCCTATCATCAACGGCCAGAACTCGAGCCTCATAAAAGCCAATTCTTCAAATTTCCATGGTACGGTGCCGGGAACGACACCGTATCTTCAACTCTCTCCGTTTCCCTTTGCTTTAACAGGGAAGAACCCAAAGAGGCAAACCCACCAAAAAGTATGGAAGATTTAGAGCCTTTAAATCACCTCTCAAAAAGCTTGTTGATTACTTGATTCCAATTCAAAAACCCTTTTTTTTTCCTATAAATAAAAAAATGGATTCTTGAGGTTAAAAGGAGATTTAAGCAGAACAGAGATAAAGAAAAAGGCAATGGCTTTCAAGAACCAAAAAGATCACTGGGCATTTCTGGTAATAAATTATTTTGATTTTATGTTTGGGTTTTCTTGGTTTTGATTATTTGATTAGTGTTTTTTTTTGGTGATTGGCAAATATTTTAATGTTTTCAATTTCTTTTCTGGGGTCTTGTTTAATTTGTATATATATATTTACATTAATTTTAATTTCTATGTTTTGTTGTTTCTTGGGTTCTTAAGTTTGTTGCGATGTTGATTTTTTTTTTTTGGGTTTTTTAGATAGTTAATGGATACCTTGATTGAAATGCTCATAAGGGTATGTTTGTTTGCTGGGAAAATGTAGGAAACGTGAAAAGAAAAAAAAGTAACTACTTCCAAAATGTCAGATTTTCATACCGCCTCAAAATTTGCAAAAAGTTGTGATTTTCGTTCATAATTTTGTTGAGATTCGAATGATGTTTGGTTTCTTGAATTGTTGTCTTGTTTTTTCTTGGTAATGAATGCTCCTTTGATTTGTTTCGGATTTTCAAGCTTATTTCTTCTTGTTCACTCACTGCAAAAAAGGGTTGCTTTTTGTTGATTGATATAAATATGTAGGAAGAAATTGAAGCACCAATGTGGGTGGATCTTACTCTAGAAGCAAATCTCAATGGTCAAGACATGTGAGTTTCTTTTCACCTTGTTATGATTCTTGTAAGTAATTTGATAAACAAGTCAGGCTTGTAACTTCTCCATTAAGAATTGAGTTATATAGTTTTTGGTACAATGCAGTGATGGTGATTGGTTCCAAACAAGTCACCTGTAAGCATCTTTTCTTTACTCGGTTACTGTTTCATTAGCTATGGAATTGTAGTTACTGACATTAGGGAGGTAATCTAACGCTAGTAGATTAACATAATGTGATTTTTCAGATTCCACCATTGTTCTTCTCACCAGTTAAAATCTGCATTTTCTCGTTCTGGTGAGGATGGGGTAAACTTAGAGTTGGACTTGGTAGGTGCATCATCACCAACACTCCCACAGTCAGTTTCAAGATCAAGAGGCAAGGACTACCGGAGCAAGAAGTGGAAAGGTGACTGTCATGATGTTTCATTAAACAATATAAAGCCGGTGAAGGTTTTAAATGGGAAGTTTTCGAGATTGGATTCAGGTTATGGTGAGGAAATAAAACCTAAACTGAGCTTTGTAAGTTTGAAAGGTGCTTCCAGTTCAAAAACAAGTTTGGTTTCTGATATAACTGAAACCAATACAAGA